CTTCCCCAACCTCTTTGTATGTTCATGTAGCAATACATATAAGAACTATTCACGTTGAAGCTAATGATTTCAGTAGATGCAACATAAGGTTCATAGTGGTATGACAATATACAGGGATGTTATTCTTTGTGTCACAGCCTATCACTATGATGATGATGATGCCACTCTAAGCCAGTCATTTAATAGATGAAAGCAAAATTAAAACAATTCCAAAATAATGAAGAAAACACATTTCTTAGTTCTTTGCTCTGCTGGAGTGAAGTTTTAGATACAACTAGAGTTTTCTTTCTGAATACAAAATTTCTTTGTCCACGTGCTGCAGTGTGTTAGCAATATTTTTTTTGTTTGTTAGCAAGATCACACCACTTAGAGCATACACAAAACATGTTTATATTTTACATTATAATACATTTATAAATGTTTAAATTTTACATTGTGTTTTACTTATGTCTACATTAACTAAACAGAGAGAGAAATCACAGGAATGTGCTCACTCCCTTACTAAATAAATCACTCCATACATCTTCCTCAATGTTATAGTCTCACAAGGTACAATGCAAATCTAATTGAGTTTCAGTCTTACTACATCTACAAACCTAAGAAAGAATACTTGCTACAAAGCCTTCCAAAATTAGAACAACTAATATGAACAGAAAGTTTGTGAGGAGTATTTTAGAAAGGGGTTTTTTTAATAATGATGTCAGCCATTGTAATGTTAGACTGCACCACAAATCCCTGTTCAAGGGTTTCTGGTGAAATTAAGGAAGAGATGTATTTAGATGCATAGTGATGCAGCAATAGGCTAGCATTTGTCATGATACAATGCAACAGAGAAATCTCCTAAAACAGGGAGAAACAAGCCAATGTGCAAATGCTTGCTTCATCCACCCTGCTAGCGCACTGCAGTTCATGAGTCACCCCAAAATGCTGTAGAAACAGAGACAATAAAGTTATTCTGCAGCACATACTGTTAAACAGATCAAAAACAGTGCTCTTTGCACACTGAATGCTAACAGTACCATGATACCCATAAAACATTTCTCACAAACAACTGCAGTAAGTGAGAGTCCTTGCAGTGAGCCAATACTTACAGTATCAGACAGGACAAACCACTGTATTTAACTGTTTCTTCATATTCTGCTTCCATATACTGTTCTGTTTATTATGCATCTCTTCCACTGACTGCTTGTGTCTCTCAGCATCTGGAGCTCAAATGATCTTGGCCCTTTTCCCCCTTCTGCAAAATCAGCGGTTTCAGAGTGATGCATGACACTGCTGCAGCCTTGCTGTATCCAAACAAATTCAATGCAGCAGGCGTTTTAGCTCCCCCTTCCCAGTTACCTCTCTCTCCCTGTCTCTCTCACCCTCTCTCTCTTAAAGAGATACTGCCCTGGACTAATCTCCTGTTTCAATAGCATAGAAAATCTGCAGATTTTGCTTATCTGTTGAATAAAGTAAAATCCAAAAAGAAAGCCATTTTAAAAATACTAAATTTTGATTTACACAGTCTCAAGACTATCTCCCCGACAAGATCATATGTAACCCTATTATCTCCATCTGCATTAACTGATCAATATAATTTAAGTCTCTTTATTAAAGCAAATCTTCTCATCTCCATTTATATTGACTGTTTTCTTCTTGCAACTTCAGCAGTAAAACTGAACAGCCCTTTTTTATTTTTCTCATGTTTGTGCTATGATGTTGTCTGTGAAAAGCTTTACATTTCAAATACAGGTTTTCATGATTTGAATAAATTTCCTTGAAAACTTCTTTATTATAGCTTTTTGTAACATCTCTGTTGTTCCTCTTCTAGCTCTTTCATTTAAGAACTGTATATCATTTTCATACTCTTCAGATTACGTATGTGAATTCTTACATGTTGACTAAAGCATGACTATTATCAGCTGCATTCTGGTTTTGGTTCCTCTTCCAAGTTGGCAGAGGCAGTCATTAGTATATCTTCCTCTGAAAGTGTAATGTGATATTTATAGAGCATAAAGCAGACCAGAGAATGACAGGAGACCAGAGCAGACAGGAGAGTAGAGATGTAGGTATTTTATCTATAACCCAAATATAAGCTTAATTTTTATCAGTAAACCATTTTCTGTTTAGTAGGAAGAGGGGGGAGACAGTATATTTCCAAGATTACCCATTATTCTACCTATAGTGACCTATGCTAAGCTAATCCTTCCTGGTAGCCAAGGAAAACTAGGTATCTTTCCCTTTGATGCTTCTCTGGCTCAGCCATAGAACAATGCTACATAGAAAAACACAAGATACTTTCTCCTCTACTGCGAGGGAGGAACTGTGACCTGTCTTCATGGTGTTTCTGACCACTGCCAATCATCATTTTAAATATTAATATGTTAGCATAGAGATCAAAAGGGGTCAGAGCCCTGTTGAGTTGGATGCTGTACAGACAAATACCAAATCATGTTTCTGCCCAGAGAATGTAACAATGAGAAAAGGCCCCAAACATCTTTGAGTTAGGTAATCCCAAGCATAGGAACATAGCCATGTGAAAATGGGTCCTTGCTGAAATCATGAATTGATTATTAAAATTGTATGACTAATAATGCATGACTCCTAGTGCAGTACAGCCTTATACTTGAAGGTAAAGGGTATACAAGAGGCAAACCTGCAGAGGCAGATCCACTGGAGATGCAGTCGTATGGCTGCACCCCCTTTTTTTGGACTGGACCATGCTGCAGGAGCTTCTGGGGACTTTTTAAAGTTCCCAGAGCAGGTGAGAATCATCCCTTCCCAGTGCTCAGAGGCACCTCCCCACTCCTTGCTTTCCCCCACCTTCCCTGCTAGGGGTGTACCAATAGAGATTTTTTGGGGCCAATACCAATGGCCGATTTTTAAGGAACCATATTGGCTGATACTGATCTGATTCCAATACACAGCCAGGCACCTTGGAGACCAACGTTGGGCTGGTAAGTCTGGTGTGGGGGAAGGGGTGGAGGAGAGGGAAGGGGTATGCAGGGGGGAAGATCGAAGCCCCCGCGGTGAGGGAGGGAGTGGGGGCAGGAGCAGGCACAGGCGCTGCTAAAATGGGGTAGGGCAGGGTGCAGGATGGAACCACGAGTAACTTGTCTGAGGTGGGGAGAGGTGTCTCCTGTCGCTTCATGCACCCTGGGAGTGTGGGGGAGTGTGCCTCCTGATCTGCACCGGGGAGGCGGGGG